GCTGTGCCCTTGCTAGAACTGAAGCACCTTGGCTACTAGGACAGACTGTGTCTCCAGAACCTTTCAGGGTGCGTGGGAAGAGCTTTCCTCTGTCAGGAGCTCCTTACTTGTTCTGGTGAAGCCTCTGGTTCCTTTGGCAGAAGAAGCTTTCCAAACTCTTTGGGCCTTCCTCTGGAGCCTTGGGCTTCTGCCTCTGCTGCTGTAAGAGCACTGCCTGCCTGCGCATGGCCTGCCAGCTTCTGAGTCTGCCCAGGGAGCCCCGAGTCAGGCCCCTGGGTTCTCTGTTCTCCCAGTGCTTGGGAGGCCATTCCCAGACCCAATGCTCCTGTCTCCTATGTACTGTCACCCGGTCCTGCCTCTTGGGCCCCAAGGACTTTCCCACCACTTGGGGAATCAAGAGAGGCCCTGAGCTCTCATCACCTCCCTCCTGCACTCAGTGGATTTCCCAGTCAATGACTGTCTGCCCGAACTCATTCTTTGGGGATTGGCTTCCTTCCCACCCCGTCCAGTGCTTCTCAGCCTCAGGTTGTTGCTGGACACACCGTCCCCACCTGCCAGCTCCCGGACTCCCCTCTCCCTCCACCTGATCCTCCTGCCCCTTCCACTGTGGCCTTGGTTTCATCTTCAGTCTCTTCCTTTCCCACTCCCTCCGTCCTTTGGCTCCCTTCTGGCGATGCAGATGTCCTGGATGCCCTTCCCGGGCCTGGCTGCGCTTTCGCTCGTAGCCCAACTCCTTGGCCAGCGCTGGGGAGCTGGGCTCTCTCTGCTGCCGTCACTCAGGAGCCTCTGCACCTTCTGGCCCATTCAGTCCAGCTGCTGTCTGCCCAGCCAGGGCCGTCCCTCTCCTTCCTCCTCCTCGGCCAGCGTGGTCCAGGGTGTTTTCTTCTCCTCGGCCCTCCGTTGTGCAGGAAACTTCAGCGCCCACGTGTCCTAGCTATGCACAGGGTATTCGTGGTTTCCTCACTCACACATGCTCCACTTTTGTGTTCACGGCTCTGATTGTGATCTTTTCTCATTCCACTTTCCCCTTAAACTCCTGTCCCTTTTCATCATCTTCACCGTGACCTTCGATCCCTCCGCTCTGCGACTCTGTGACTGCCGTGATGGCATGCATCCTCTTGTTCTTCCTGGAAAGAACCCTCGTAGCGACTGCCCCTCCCCCTCCTCCCCCTCCTCCCCCTCCTCCTCCCAGGTCCTCCTGACTCCAGGGCCGGTGCTCTATCCACCGTGCCACCTAGCTGCCCCCAGCTTCTTAGTTATCAGATCTCTCACTGAGGAGGCCTCGTGATATCCGCCCCACATCAGCTGCTGTGTGGAGGACCTCACTCTCTGCAGAGCACCTCTCTTCCGCCTGGGCACAGGGCATTGGCCTCTTTTCTGATGACTTAGCTTCCTCTTTCCAGCTGGGGCCGAGCGTTTGATGGAGGGGCACCGTGATTTCCCTTATGTGTCCCTCCTTCTGGAGTAGTCTGCAGCTCCATGACCTCGGTAACCTGGCAGCTCGTCCGTTGGTGCAGACTGTGATCCATCTGGGTATTGGTGTGTCCTGTGGGCCTGACATCCACAGCCTCCCATGGCTTTTCTGCAGGGGCTTCAGCAGACTTGTTAAGGGCCTTCCTCTATGTCTTCTGGTGTTGCCTGGGATGCCTTTCTCTCATCCCTTTGTCTTTCCCAGTGACTGGCTCATTTGCTTTTCTGGTCGTGATTTTCTTAGATAATAACTTTTTCAGGTGGCACAGGAGCTGGGTTCCAATCCTACCTTGACACTTACTCCCTGTAAGGAATGACTTCAGCACGGCCCTTAACCTGCCTGGGCCCTTTCATCTCCTCAGAGGGCTGGACTAGATGTCGTGTGGCCCCTATTACGCCCAGACCTGTAATTCTGTATTTCTGTGATGTTATTCTTTGGAAATGTTCTTTCCTCATGTTCTCCTTGCACATTTCTCTTGTCTGTTGGGTACACAGAACCTCCTTTCTGCAAAACTGTGATGCTTACTTCCTTAGAGTTCCCTGCATTAGGACAAGAATGCTGGTGTGTGAGACATTTGCCTGCAGAGACTGGGGAGGGACAGAACAGACTCTGGTGTGTTTGTGAGGCGTAGCGCTGCCCACCCCATTGGATGCCCCCAACTTACACCCGCAGGTCGAGGGGAGGTGCTGATGGCTGCCCCGTGTCTCAGGTACCTTGGGCGTCCAACGTTCTCTTGCTCGTAAGCCCTCACCAGGGCACTTACCTTCAAAAGTCAGTAAGAGGCACCATCACCTGCTAGCTCCGTGGGCTCCCAAGGGGTCTGGGCTCCTGAATAGGAAAAAACGATATCTTTATTTTCACCAACTTCTAACTGAAGTGTAGCATTTCCTTAAAGTATCGATGTTGGAAATAAAGTATTGTTCAGAGAAGTGTTCCCCAGTGGGGTCTGTGACCCAAAAAAGGGTGCGAGACCCTGCAAAGACATTTGCTAAATGGCATTGTAAGAAGAGTTGGTTATAACCTTCCCTCACTAGGCTCGTAGGGCGCTGCCTCAAGGACACACCCCATCAGTGCAAAGAGAGGCCCCCCGCTGGGGACACATGTAGCCCGGGTGATGGACGCCTCCGTCCAGCACTGGAAGCCCTCTGTGGCCTTTCCCTTCCTTTGGTGACCTCCTGCCGCTTCTTCCGGGCTCAGGGTCTCCTCTGGGCTGGTCACTCGGCAGGGCTCCTGGGACCCATCCTCTCTGCCTCTTGGCTCCTGACAGACAGGTCTAGCTCTTTGGTCCTCAAGCTTCCCGTTCCATGCCTTGACTCACTGGACCCACCACCTTCTAGGAGCAGGGAATCCTGATGGGTAAGGACGCGCCTCAAGGATGTGCTACATTTGTCGGGGATGGGCTAGTCCCTGGGTGCTCTTGGCCCCTTGAGGGATGTATGGTTATGTCCGCGTGTCAGCTGGCCAAGACCTCAGTGCTGTCCGTGCCAAGCATTAGGCCTACAAATTCGAATCCTGCCTCAGACAGTTACCAGCTGTGTGACCATGGGTAAGTCACTTTGTCAGTCTCCATTTCCTCATCTGTGAAATGGGAAAAAGAAGTCATCAGTACGGCCGGCATTTATATAGTGCCCTTCCCTCTCATCACCAATGGCGGCTGACGTCAGACGCTGGCAAGCTCAGACTTCCCCGTATTAGGGTGATTTTAGGATGTGACAGGTTCCCCCCGCCCCCCCAAAAAAGCCATTTTTCTATAATACGTTTGTCAGTTTGATCAAAGCAAAGGTTTCATTTGTGTTGTTAATACCAAAACGTGTGTGTATTTTCCTTCTCTTCCCCCCACCTCCTTTCCATCCCCATTATTGCTTCTGACAGGGACAGCAAATGGGCAGACAGACTTTCTGAGGTCTTGGTTGGCTGCTTTAGCCTTGACCGTCTTGCGGCCGGGATGTGCTTGCAGGCCGCCAGGCGGGTTTGTGGGACCGACCACTCTTCCTCGGCCTCTGTCGTTCCTGTTTTTAAAGGCTGGGGTAGCGCTTTGCTGGGTTACATGTTTGGAGTAATTAAGCCACCATTTCTGTTTTCTTGGGACTTTTTAGCCTGTGTGCTGGGTAGAGCGACGCTGATTGTGTTTTCAGTGTTGGACGCCGGCTCATTGCTGAGCCTGTGAGGGCCAAGAGAGCTTTCTGATGTCACTGTGTCCCAGATGGGTGAGGGAGAGAGAGCTCAGGAACCCTGGGATTTTACTGTGTTGGTGGTGTTGGAATGTCACCATGGCTAACCATGAACATTTTGTTCATTTATATTTGATTGCTAGGGGTTTTATTTGATCAGTCTGTGTGCTGGATGTGTTTTATTTTGCCTGGGGATATGTATCTCAACCACCATATACATACGTGCCCTACAATATGCTTATCATGAGCGGAGTCAAACAAAACCACTCGGATGGCCTCCTCCCAGGTGTGCGCAGGTGTGCACAGGTGGACTCCCGGGCTCCCTCCCTGGGCCTGGCTTCTGGAGCTTACCTCCAGCTGCCCCCAGGCCCTCTCCCGGCTCTTCCTGGTGCCTCTGGTGCTGAGTGCTCCAGGCTGAGCTCAGGCTCTTTCCCCATTACTCCTGCCTCTTCTGACGTCGTCTCGTCTGCCAGCTCTGTGAGCTGCAGGGAGCCCTGCCTGAGTCCTCCCTGTTGCCGCTTCTCAGTCCTCCTCCTTTCCCTCTCCTCCCCGTTGTCTGGCTTTTGGGTATAGGTTGTGTTTACTGAGCTCTGTGCATGTTGTGACCCCAGTAGAGTGGAAGCTTCTGGAGGGCAGGCAGCGGTTCCTGTTAGCACCTGACACAGCCCTTGGTGCATAGTAGGCACTTAAAAGCGAATGAGCCAGGTACCGTTTCCATGGTGGATAAGCTATTAGAGACAGAGTTTGGTTTTGCAACTTTTGTGATTTGAATTCTCTTGTTTGTTGTGAGCTTTAGAGGGACTCCATCACATGGTCTTTTCTTCTGTTTTGAAGGAGATTCTCTTTGGCGGAATGGTTTGGACTTCGTTGGTTCATTTAGCTCACTGGGGAAGTTGACACATTTTATCCATTAAATTAGACGAGACTTCAGTGTTTTCATGGTGGGATGGAAAAATAGCATCATTTGAAAGGAAGTGGGGGATTTTGGCCTCAGATCCTTTGTGTGTCTCTGTATTCATGTTTTCCTAATTACCCCAATTACTCCAAGGAAAATTAACTTGTTTTATTTTATAGCTGGAGCTGGAAGGGTTTTGGGAATCAGCCACAGAGCTGGCCTTTCCTGAGGAGGTGCCCAAGGTGGACCTTCCACCCAACAGTCACACAGACCAGGCCCCGGTCAATAAGGGCAGACCTGTCAGGGTCCATTTTGGTTGCCTGGGGTCGTGCTTTGCCATTTTTGAGTGCCATTCCCAGAATTCAGGAAATGAAGATCTCTGATACAGGTCAGGAAGTGAGAGTAATCATTCACCTTAAATCTGTGTTCATGACATCCAAATCATAATTTTCTGTTTTTGTAGGAACTGTGGGTAATGTGGAACATGGGAACCAGTACCAGATCAAGCTCATGTATGAACATAATCTGCAGCGGATCGCCTGCAACATGACATACGGATCCTTTGGTGGCGTCAAAGGTAACGTAGATTTGTCTCTTGTTTTAAATGCTGGCCACAAAGCGAGGCCAAGGGAAAGTGACCGGCCACGCAGGCCACGGAAACGAGGCAAAGTGGGTCCAGCACACGCACATGCCTTTCCTTTAGACCTCTCTTCAAATATCCCAAGTAGAATTTCACTAAATCACTCCCAATAATGTAAAAAATCTGTCCCAAGTTGTGGGGTTTTTAAAAATGATTATTACTTTAGTTTCCCTTTCTTTTCTTTGAAAGTGGTTGTTGGGAAGAAACAAAGCCCAGCTTTTGGAGTGAACATTTCACAGCTTCGTCTTATATTCAGATTGCTAGCTTAAACATATTTCAGGATTTCTGTTCGGCTTCCTTGCAAACATCCAGAACTTTAAAATGCTTTTAAGAGTCCCACAGATTGGTCCCAACTGCTCCCTGGATGCCCTCCCCAGATAGCCAGGGCAGGGTTGGCGTCATGGCTGTGCCTTTGGTACTGATGCGGCCAGAGTCAGAAGTGGATACAGGTTTCTCAGCAGCTGTGAGTGCCTGTGTATGTGTGTGTATGCCCCGCCCTGGCCACTTGCTACTTCTGAGATAGAAGAAAGATAGAGGAAGAAAGAGAATCTTCTTACTTAGTTAACAGCTATTTCTGGAACACCTGCCCTGTGCCTCCCCAGTTCGCGTCGCCCTTCCCTTCTGGCTAGCTGTTCTTTCCCTGGGGGCTAGTCTAGGCAGGGCTGGCACTAGGGACTGTGGTTGGGTTAGCCTTCAGATGAAGAGGAGAGAGGCTCCTAAGATGCAATGCGTGTCCCCAGCTCATCAGGGAGCTCTGAGGCCAGGCCCAGGCCTGCCCCTAAAAGGACCAGGGCGTACAAGCAGGCAGGCTGAAGGCAGGGAGGAGTCTGCCTGTGGGCCCTCGATTTTGTACTTGCTTCCCCAGGCCCGGGGCCTGGAGCCCAGTGCTCAGTAAATGCTTGTGCGTCGTTGGTGGGTCAGAGCTCCAGCCTTGCCTTAGCTCGGGGCGGGGGTGGGATGCGGGGGGATCGGAGGCTTTGGGGTCAGAGCCCTGGCCTCGTGGCCAACCTGAGTGTGAGGCAGGCCCCGGGGTCCTGCCTTCCTCTGACCTTCTAGCTGTGAGCTGGGCCTCTGGAAAAGGGGGCCCTGCCACGGAAGAGCGGGGGAAGCATCCCCAGGACAGGGTGGGCAACCCTGGGGCACTGCTCTGTCCTGTGGCCCGGCCACCACTAGAGGGCAGCGTTGTGTAGTCTAGGAGGCCCCAGCCAGAGACTGCAGAGAAGGGCTGGAGATCAGAGGACTGGTCCTGGAAGGGTTGTCCTCTCATCCTCGTCCAGGGGATCTCTGATTGCAAAATGGAAACGACCACTGAGGGCACTGTGGTGGGGAGGGGACCCTGCGCTCTGGAAGGCTCTGCCAGGGGCTCTCCAGGTGGGCTCCTACTGGGATCATTGGACATTTATTAAGCACTTACTGTATGCTGAGCACTGTGCTAAGACCCTGGGGTGCCAGAAAAGGAACAGACGTCATCCCTGACCCCAAGGAGTGCACATGCTAGTGCAGGGGACGGCGTACAAGCAATCATAGACATGCAACATGCACACACACGTGCATGCAGACGTGCATGAGCATGCACATAGGATACACAGTGCATGTGTATGTACATAAACAAACATGCATAAAGTGCATATGTATTATACACATACATATGTGTATAGATACAGACCTGTATGAGTGTGCGCATATCACACACACGTGTATATACATGTACAAACAGACATGTGTAAGTATGCATATACTATATGCACATGTAAGTGTGTGTATGTGCATGTGTATGTATGTGTATATGGTAATCTCAAGGAGAAGGCTCTAGCGGTGGTGGGAGAGGCTGGGAAGGTCTTGTTGCAAAGGTAGCGTTTGAGCAGAGTGTGAAGGAGGGAGAGCCTTCCAGGTGTGGGCCAGCCAGTGCCAGGCCACGGGGTCAGGAGACAGAGTGTCCTGAGCACGGAGCAGCAGGAGCGTATCTTTCGGGAGATCCCAGGGACGGCTCACCAGGTTTGCCATGACATGAGGAATTTTTCAGCCACATGCCAATGACACGCATGCATTCACTTAGCACATACTAAGCACCTACTGTGTGCCAGGCACTGAACCTTGTGCTGGGGTAATACAGAGACCAAAACAACAAAAAGCAGGCCATGCCCTCAGGGATCTTCCATTTCCTTGGAGGTGGCGAGGGCCCTGAGTATTCAGATGAGTCAGGGAAAGAGAAGGGGCTCCCTGGGAAAGGCATCAGAAATCTTGGGGGCCGTATGAGTTGTCTTTCTTGGGTTACTGTCCTCGCTGTGTTGGTTAACGTGACGGTCAAATGAGATAATCTGGGACAGTAAAGCCCCGCTCCAACCCTGGTATCCAGGGTCTGTCCACCCCCCCCCCCCCCCCCCCCCCCCGCCCCCGGGGCCCCCCCCCCCCCCCCCCCCCCCGGCCTGTAGCCCTCAGACGTCCACCTGAGCCTCCCGTGGAGGCTGTAGCGGGGTCACCAACGCTCGTGTTCTTTACTGACAGGCATGGCCTCCTTGCTCTGTGTTTTTACATGTGATTCGTTTTTATCTTTAAGCATAAATCTTATTTCACTTGACAAAACATTCGTCAGAGAGATGAAGAAAGTCCCAAAAGAATAAGAAGAGCAAAGCTTGCGGGTCGTCATCCGGCGCCGCCCTCCCGGCCCCCAAGAGATTGTCCCTCATGCGTCTGTGGCTCGAGGCATCTCCGTTGGTCAGGAGACGTGTGTGTTCCCTTGGTCACGGCAGTCGTAGGAGCAGCCACTTTGGCCTGTGTTCTGGGCCCGTTTGGACCTCTTTTACCGGTGCTTTCATGTCTCTGTTGCTGTTGGTGCCATTAGTTACGTGGCTGTAGAGGAAGGGTCTTCCATTCCTTTGGTTGAACTTCCTTTTAGCTACATGGCTCAGAAGCTCATGGATCTGGGTTCCCAGGGCTTGGAAGCCTATGTTGGAAAGAGGGGTGTGTGTCAGTTATTAACAATGAAAGTCCCACTTAGGGGCTGCCTCTGTTGTAGACTGCACAGAGTGAGAGTTTAATCAATGGTAATTTAATTGACTTGAGTAAGAAACTGGAGAGAGAACCTTCCTCCTCCCTAGTCCCAGTTTTTCCACTGCCTGGCCGTAGGGTTCGATCTTGCCTTTCTCACGTGGGCAGAAGCCAGTGTGATCTCTGTAACGTTAGTCCTACATCTGGTCACTTCTGCCATGCCCAGGTGTTTTGGGAGTGTTCTTACAACCTTGAGGAAATGTGTAATAGGCGAGGAAGGTGGGTAGGACTTAGTCTTTCCATAGGACCTGCAGAATGTAAGCCGGCCTAGGAACAGGCGCCCCGCGTGATGGGGAGTCCTTTTTTGGAGGACCAGTGGGGTGAACGCAGGTGAGAAGATGAAGACCCTTGGCTCGGTCGCAATTTGTAACGACGGAGAACTAGCCTTGGTGGTGAGTTCATGGATCCAATGATTCAAGTGGGCTGTTCATTTTTATTCCGTTTTTTGTACTTACTTTGAGACACATGGGCTTTTATTTTTGGTTGTGGATTGCTGAGTGTGTATCACAGAAGGTGACAAATCACAAGCTAAAAGGCCTCATTGGGTGCTTGTAGATTTGCAGGTGAGGATGTTCTCAGGGGAATTTTGTGTGTGCTGTTGCTTGGAAGAACAGTTTCTGTTATAAAGCCTGAAAGATTTTCTTTTTCATCATATCATAATTCAGAACGAGAAAACAACTATTTGAGATTCCTGAGGGTACTGAATTTAGCAATCACTAAAGAACAGCCGAAATTAATATCCTCTACTTAATAAAAAATGTCTTTCTGGTATTGCCAAGTTTGAATTCATCTCTTATTTTTTTTGTAAATAGTATTTTACGTTTTACAATTACATGTAAAGATAGTTTTCAACATTTATTTTATTCATTTTTTGTAAGATTTTGAGTTTCAAATTTTTTCTCCTTCCCTCCCTCCCCCCCCCCCCCCAAGATGACAAACAATCTGATAGAGGTTGTACATGTGCTGTCACGGAAATATCTTTCCACATTAGTCATGTTGTGAAAGAAGAAACAGAACAAAAGGGAAAAGCCACAGAAAACAAAAAACCCCAAAAAGTGAAAATAGCATTCTTCGATCTGCATTCAGACGCCATCTTTTTATGATGTGATTTAGACTTTTTCAATCATTGTGTATTATTTGGGTCAGACTTAAAAAATAAAACAAAACAAAACAACTGATGAGCCTCTCTCTGCATAGCACGCCGGCTAGAGGGCAGTGGTCCTCCAAAGACCAGAGATGGCCTTGTCTTTGAAGATCAAATGACTCTTTCCTATCTGCTATAAATCCTATTCTTTCTCTTTTCCTCCTTCCTTCCCCCTCCCTCCCTTCTTTCTTTCTCTCTTCCTTCCTTTCTTCCTTCCTTCCTTTTTTCCTTCTTTTCTTTTTTGCTTCCTTCTTTCTTTTTTTTCCTTCCTTCCTTCCCCCCTCTGTCCCTCCCTCTCTCTCTCTCTCTCTCTCTCTCTCTCTCTGTCTCTCTCGCTCTCTCTCTCTCTCTCTCTTCTCACCCTCGAAGAGTCCATGTGGCCATCAGGTGCTGCCATCATCTGGACAACAAATGCCAGAGCACAGTCCTGGCTGCATATTGATTTTGTTTTTAGCCAGGAATCGGATGGTGGTTAGTCTCGGCCAGTGGGATCCTTGCCCCCCTTTTCATTGCTCTTCAAATTGTCCTGCTCCCCACCCTGTCTCGTGTGCTCTGGCTTCCTGCTGAATTCATTTCATGATCCAGTGATGCCCGATGGGAAATTGGGGTTTTGTGTGGCTGTACTGCGAATGCTTCACTGTTATATGATTTCCTCCCTTTCATTTGTCTTCCTTCCTTTAGACGTTTTAGTTTTATTAGTTTCCTTCTTTGTATTTTTAATGGTCTGAGTCATTTTTTCCCTGAC